ATATTGCGGCCCCTGGTAAGAGCCACAGTAGGGCTTCAAAGAACGAAAAATTGTATCCTGAAAAGAACGGGAAGTTATTACTTATTGTTTGTAGAAGCACTGTATTATAGTAGAGGTGCAAAGGAAAGTCATGTGACAAATGGCCGCCAACTCGAGTGACGTCAAACGGTTAGACAAGACAAATAGCTGTGAAAACATGACATCCCCAAAAACAGTATGACAATACATTCACGCGTATTCATTGGCGCTCAAAAACCTGACCTTTTTTTAAATGACCTTGGCTTACAGATCGACTGCACCTTTAGTGTGTACCAGGTAAAGACTTGAGAAGTAAAGGCGGCAGGCATGATGTTGATCACACTACCGACCAACTGTCAAATGGTCTATAAAATAAAGCTCTAGCACTAAATGCCTAATACGCCCAAAAGTGTGGAAAATGGTACCATCATCATCAGTTCTCGTTATGCCTAGTGGCACATAAGGCTTCAGAGAGGACTTTCCATGCTTTCCTGTCCTGTGCAATCTTCAGTGCAGTTTTCCATGTCAAAGATGCCGCACTCAGGTCACTTTCCATCGTTCGTCTCCGTGTTGTTTTTTGGCGCCCCTGTTTTATCTTTCCCTCTGGTGTCCATGTGAGAGCTGTTTTAGCAGGTATATCAGGATTCATTCTCATAACGTGACCAAGCCATTTCTATCTTCTCTTGGTAATCATACTGTCTAAAGTTTCTTGGTTTGTGACTAGAAGTAGTTTAGTGTTTGAGATTGTATCTGGCCAGAAAATTTTGATAATTCTATGTAGACATGTGTGGTGGAAGGTGGATGGACAATTGTATACCTTACTTTTATTATGCACAATAAGCCGAAGGGCGTGGAAAAGGGACATTTTTGTCCCTGGCGCTCAGAGTCATGAATAACGCGACTAAACATTAGACAGCATAACATTCTAAACATTAAGTTACCGTAACAGGACTCGAAAATGTCGCCTTCAATAGACCAGGTCGGGAACGCACTTCAACGAAAAGCTAACAAGCAAAGCAAAGGACCGTTTTCCACTTTAATTGTGTCCTGGGCTAGACCGAATATTGTAGACTGGTTTCCCACCTCCCCAGCTGTAGGTTACTGACATTTGTGGAATCGACTGCTATCAATCGAGTTAGTCCAGAATTATGCATACAAAAGGACATGCTCTCCATCTTGCGTTAACTCTGGTGAAACAGTTTTTGAAAGTAGTCGATTTTGTGTTCAGTTGGAAGGATTCATTTGTGTGTGTGTGTGTGTGTGGCTTAATTTTAATCAATTGTAACTGTAGTATGCACCTGACGAGTTACAACAAACGTCTGGTAATAGATTGCGCAATCTGTACAGTTTACCATAGCAGTCTAAATCTGGTAAGTGTAACAGAAAAAAAAACTAACAGACAGAAAAACTAGGCCGATTTCCACTGCAATCTAGATCTTGAAATTCTGATGGAAAGAAACAGAAATGTTAAATTAAGAATCGACATTTCAGCACTAGGGACACTCCCATAAGTGCTCAGTCCCCATCTTCAGCAGCAGGCGAAAAGTCCCAATTCCGATGGTAACAGTAACTGATTCTATATCCTTTTCATCCGTCTCCCTTACTTGGAGTTCCTATGTTCATACAGCACCCATTTTTGCACACCACTTAGTCACTTTGTCTGAAGTTGCCTGCAGCTCTTGGGCTATCCGTTGTCTATATTTCCTTGCCTATATCCTTTCAACATCTGGTGCTTCAAGTTCTGCGATCTTGCTTGGATACACATTAGAGATCACCGGTGAAATAGCAGAGCCCTGTGGTAGTCCCGGGGCGATATTACATGGTTTTAAGGTCCACGTACCCAGGCGAAGGGCAACCATTCGTGAATGCAGGACAGCTGCTAACCAGGGACAAACCCGCTTCTCCATGAGTGCAGACTTCCAAATATCACATCTGACTCTATTGTAGGCATCCTCAAGATCAAGTACTGCCACAACTGTCTCCCGTCTGTTCTGGAACCCCTCATAAACATCAAAAACAAAAGTAGCTGCATTAGACCAGGTATCTTTCCGTGACCGGTAACTACCCAAACCATTTTGGCAGCAGCTCTTCCCTTTCTAAAAAACGTTTGTAGTTTAACAGCAATAATCTTCTCTAGCACTTTGCTAAAAGTATTCTGCAGGGTGACAACCCTGAAACCGCTGAAATGATCTTTGCTTGGTTTTGGAAGTGGGATCAAGTGGCTGTATACCCAATCATGGGGTACTGAAGCTGTTCTGATGCTCTGGTTGAAGTGAAATGCCATCTCCCTCAAAGTTTTCATCATTCTTGCTCTCCATTTGGTTATACCTCACTCCGTCTGGCCCCGGCACAGTGTCTTTTTTTTTTTTTTTTTTACAATACTTATTTTATATCCTACACCCTAATGATATCCTGAAAATAATTATCATTTATAGTATCAGACATTATCTCTAACTGAATTTCTAAGCTGCCTATCATTATGATCAGTCTAGGCTATAAATCTCTTCAAAAATGCTTCCCCTTTCTCTTTGTCTGTTGCCACTGGTATAACATTATCAGTGTATATAATGCCTGTTATGAAAGACAGACCCTTCCTTTGCATTCATCTAAGCAGTTTCTAAAATCTACCCAGTCATTTATTCCCTACAATTTCGCTCATAAAGTGGCATATTTTAATGCATCTCGTCAGATGCATTACAGTTATATTAACATGTAACCAAGCAAAAACAAAATAAATTCTTTCCACTGTAATAGACAAATTACAGTCTCCTAAAGTCACTTCCTACATCTTGCCAACCAAAAGTACAAAACAGTCATGTGACTACCATAGTGATGTTAAATTTGCCACATGATCTTTCTGTCTGCACAATATGGGATTGCCCATTTTTAAGTCATAACTTCTGCAATTTTGACAAATTGCATGTTGGGTGTGTAGTAAATGACATGGAAGGCACAGACCCTATCTAATACATGCCCAGTCAACCAAAAGGTGTCCTATAGAAGAGCTGGGTTCTTTCCTTTTGGTGTGTCTTGACAAACTCTCAGAATCTTTACTCGTTTGTGTGTGAGCCATTTAAATATATGTTCTGCTACTCTGTTTTCAACAAACACAACCAAACACTGGTGCACTTTATTAAATGCATTTTCCACCAAACATCAACAGTCTCTACCATACAAATCCTTCCACCAAACATCACCAGTCTCTACCATACAAATCCTTCCACCAAACATTAACAGTCTCTACCATACAAATCCTTCCATCAAACATCAACAGCTTCTACCATACAAATCCTTCCACCAAACATCAACAGTTTCTTCCACACAAATCCTTCCACCAAACATCAACAGTCTCTACCATACAAATCCTTCCACCAAACATCAACAGTTTCTACCACACAAATCCTTCCACCAAACATCAACAGTCTCTACCACACAAATCCTTCCATCAAACATCAACAGTCTCTACCATACAAATTCTTCCAACAAACATCAACAGTTTCCACCACACAAATTCTTCCACCAAACATCAACAGTTTCCACCACACAAATCCTTCCAACAAACATCAACAGTTTCCACCACACAAATTCTTCCACCAAACATCAACAGCTTCTACCATACAAATCCTTCCACCAAACATGAAAAACAAGAAGTTCCTGAAAAATAACGAGGTAACGAGAAAGAACATTTTAATTCTGTGAACAGCAGAAACTAAATTCTACCTAAGAAAATAACCAATGACTTCTAGAACTTTCCAATGGGAAGTTAACATTTCACATCTAATAGAAACCACACATAGAACTGATATGTTATCTATTATACTGCATTACATGATTGTGTATGTAACAAGTTATCTCTGTGATGAACCAACAACATCTGTGTGCTGACATCATGGTGGAGACACAGTGAAATTTTACTGTTTACCTAACAAAATAAGCAAGCATAGTCTAATCACCAACAACACACTAGTGGCTCAAGGTATTGTATATATTTCAACATAGACAAGTACTAGGATAGGACTGACAAAAGATATGAGTGTCATTGAGTGGATATCAATATGGCTGCGGGTTTTAGTTAGAGTTGTCAGAAAAACCATTGCTGAGTGAGACTTTGCAGTGTATTAACAGGGGCTGTGTTGGCAGAAGTGTGATGACAGGGACAGTGTTGGCAGAAGTGTGATGACAGGGACAGTGTTGGCAGAAGTGTGATGACAGGGACAGTGTTGGCAGAAGTGTGATGACAGGGACAGTGTTGGAATATGTTTGATGACAGGGACAGTGTTAGCAGAAGTGTGATGGCAGGGACAGTGTTGGCAAAAGTGTAATGACAAAAGTGTAATGACAGGGACAGTGTTGGCAGAAGTATTGGGGGTGAGATTGGTACGTATATACTCCAGACATGGCAGTTTGAATATGATGATGAATTTGGTCCAACAACGAATGCTGAATGTGGTGGTTGTGGAGTGGTAGTGGGTGCTGTGTGTCCAGCTAGAACTCTAGTGCGATGAAACTATGCCACATAGTGATTGGTATCTGCATGATTCTGTCAATGAATATCCATAAACTGACAAGATGAAAAACTAAAATATTCTATTTCTTCTGCTGCATTTTTCCTTTAAAAAAAGGCAGTTGGCATGTTGTGGTTTACAGCTAGGCTGCAGCTTTTGGCCCAACATGTCAGATTTCAGGGAACCTTTAATTGGCATCTTTTTTACAACATGCCCTGTTTCTATTCCCCCCCCCCCCCCCCCCCCCCCCCCCCCCCCACCCATTGCCCCCCCTCTCTCCCACCAGAGTGGGTACCAGAACCAAAGCTGTGAAGAAAAGTATACAGCTGTTGGACTTTGGACCAAAAATGAAGTGACAATAAGCAGCCGTAAAATCCTTGAAATGACTGAGACATCTGTTGTGTGGTTTCTTGAATCTTATGGAGAGGAAATGTTTGTGACACCAGCATCAGCTGTATTGAAGCGTGGTAGTTTTGTTCAAGTCTGGACCTCTGTGGAAAGCTGGAAGGCACCAATCTCTGTTGAAGGTGTGAGGGTCTTGCGGTCTGTGTAGGGTATAGTCTTTTCAAAGGATGAGACACAACCAAACTCTCTTGAAGATTGAAAAGCATCAACTTGTCTGCATGGCTGGAAAGAACCAATGTCTGTGGGACATTGTTGAGAATCATCCTGAACCTTAGGCTTGAAAAAGCAAGATTCTGACCAGGGTCTAAAGAATCCATCATGAGATGTACTCTCCAGAAATGTGACCCTGACCTGGTTGTGGTCAACATCTGTGACCATGATCTTCTGCTGCGTGTCCAGAGTGCAGCGGCGACGTTTGGCATGGTGCAGCTTCTTGTGATGATAGTGGTCGGGGCTGGTGTAGCTCTGGGAGTGGTGATATCTGACCGCGCTTAAGCTGGCAGCTTCACAATCTGGTTTGTGGCTTTCCAGCTCTCTGTCGGCATCTTCCTTCTGGAGTTGGGCTTCAAGGCGCTTCCGTTCTGTATTCACCTGATCATGGAAATTGGCACCAAATGTCCAGTCATTCTGATCATCATCAGCAACCAGACTTGTGTGGCGCTTGACATTCTCATGGGTAGGTGGGCTGTCATTGTCAGAACCGGCATCTGTGCATGGGTTGGTCTGTGGTCTGAGATCATTCAAGGAACTGATGAAAATGTTACGATTTGTGCATTCACTCATTTGACAGTTGTCATTTTTAACACTGTCATTGCTGTCACGGTTGTCAAAACCACTGTCAGCGTTATAATGGTTACAGTTCAGATCCATGATACAAGGGTTCTGCCTTTGCTCTTCGTAATCAGCCTCCGACCTGACCCTGTACACTCGGAGAACATTAGACTCTCCCGGAGATGATGCTAGCGTAGATGAAGACTTCACTTCCCAACAGTCAGAGTGAGACCATGTGTCTTCATTGCCTTCCATACTGTCCTCACCATCATTGCCATGCTCATCATCATTAACATCATCATTCGTTTTAACACCATCTTTCATATTTCTTCTCTTCTTCATATCAGAATGATACTTTGAAGTTTGCTTGTTGTTTTCAGCATTGCTATCAATAGAACGGATGCCCCTTTCTCCGGAGACCCTGTTCTTGCTGCGCTTATGATGTTTATTGTTCTCTTTCTGCTGTTTAACTGCCCGGGGTGGGCTGCCCCACATCATGGGCAACCTGTCAGAGGGCAGGTATGGCCAGAGGCTGTCCTGGGATTGGCTGCGTTTGGTGACAGGCTGGCTGACCACCTCATCCTCCTGCTCGCTGTCATTGCTGTCGCTCAAGTTCTCCGCACTAGCCAGACGCTGGGAAAGAAACAACAAAATAATTGTAATACAAAATGCACAATACTAGTACAACATAAATGGCAGGTAGAGGAAAACCCACAAAATGCTACTGAATAAAATTAATACGATGGAGCTCCACAAAAAAACCTGAAATGTGTGGCAGAAATTACAATAATCTTGCCACTGTTTTGTCACTTGTCAATACTGTTGTTATGGCTATATAATAACATAATGATAGTTTACATATGGCCACCCCACTTTTGACATGCACCAAAGAGAAGCAGTGTTGTTATCCATTGTTTTTAAACAATGAAGGGGTGACACCTTGGGGTAAAGGGGTGTCACCTTGGGGTAAAGGGGTGACACCTTGGGGTAAAGGGGTGACACCTTGGGGTAAAGGGGTGACACCTTGGGGTGAAGAAGTGTCACCTTGGGGTAAAGGAGTGACACCTTGGGGTAAAAGGGTGACAACTTGGGGTAAAGGGGTGACACCTTGGGGTAAAGGGGTGACACCTTGGGGTAAAGGGGTGACACCTTGGGGTAAAGGGGTGACACCTTGGGGTAAAGGGTGACACCTTGGGGTAAAGGGGTGACACATTGGGGTAAAGGGGTGACACCTTGGGGTAAAGGGGTGACACCTTGGGGTGAAGGCGTGTCACCTTGGGGTAAAGGGGTGACACCTTGGGGTAAAGGGGTGACACCTTGGGGTAAAGGGGTGACACCTTGGGGTAAAGGGGTGACACCTTGGGGTAAAGGGGTGACAACTTGGGGTGTAGGGGTGACACCTTGGGTGAAGGTCTAGTATGGCGATGCTTGCCAGTCGGTCCAGCAAGTGCATGAGTGGAGTAGGTTTTAAAAACTGCTGTGACAGACTGCTAACTACGGGGTCACTGCTAACTACGGGGTCACTGCTAACTACGGGGTCACTGCTCACTGTACCTACCCCAGTAAATGTCACACTTGATCAAGAGCATATGTGAGACATGATCAGCCGTAAATGTGAAAACTAGATGGTTGGTACAACATTAGACAGTGAGTAAATGTGAAAACTAGATGGTTGGTACAACATTAGACTGTGAGTAAATGTAAAGACTTCATTCTGACCGCTGCCTTATTCTGCTTCTTCTTCTTTTTCGCCTTAACTCGATGTAAACTGCGGCAGAAAGTTCTGGTTCCTTGTCCATGTCTGGACATTTCACAGATCTGACTTATTTTGTAGAGACTGCTGGTTGCTAGCCTCTCAATCAGATGTGCTCCGACTTGGAAGGAAACCCCTAGTTACTTGCCTCTGATGACATACTTGTTAGGGAGGCAGTGGGTTTGTTACCCCCCCCCCCCCATTTCTTTCATAATGGGTCACAGAACCCACACGGGGACCCCGCCTTTTTTAAATACTGCAAACTGAAACTGACGTCTCTAAGATGTAGAAGGAAGAGTCATGTTATGTAATCTTTGCAGGCCAGAGTCAGAGGCTGCAAGTTTAAGTAATTCCATGAGATACAACTACACCCCTACCGCCAACTCTAGTCCCTAACTAAGCACACAAGAAGCAAAGAAATAAAAATACGTGGATAGAGAGCATGAGAGGTCATAGCAAAGACAGTATAACTCCATGTAACACTTACAAGTTTTCGTTTCTTTCTCACCAACCGTTGCTTTTTACGCCATTCTTCTCGCCTGCAAAACAATAATAAATAAGATTACTGTTAATATTATTATATATTTACCCAACTCATCCAGGATTAGCATCCATACAGTTTCATCTTCTTCTTCTTCCTCTGCGTTCATCCGAAGATGTAATTGCGTTGTGTCCGTTTACAGCATGGCTGCGATATCTGCACCTTTCGGCCAACACATCCGACTTCTGCGTGCATTTGTTGACCGGGTTAGCCTTTCCAGTCAGTTTCATCTGATACAAAGAAAACTATTTCTGTTAAGAGAAACTTTTTACTTGGAAGATAGATGAGTCTCGGTAAGCTCTATTTAGCTCCTTGTTTGGGGACTGAGGCTTAGAGCTGTATCTGTTTTTTTTTTTTATTATTATTCTTTGGTAAGGACTTCGATCTAATGGTGCTGTTGTTTTCATGCGCCCCCCCCCCCCCCGCCCCCACCCTTGTCGTTGGAACACTGCTAGTCACAGGCTGAGTTAATGTATCACTTTCTCTCTCTCTCTCTCTCTCTCTCTCTCTCTCTCTCTCTCTCTCTCTCTCTCTCTCTCTCTCTCTCTCTCTCTCTCTGTATCCCTCTTTCTATCTCTGTCTCTCTTTCTCTCGTTTGTGTGTGTGTGTGTGTGTGTGTGTGGGGGGGGGGGGTTGTTATAACGCGATATCCTACACTGCTAGAATTATGGGTGACCGGCCAGATACGCTATAATGTGGGGGGGGGGGGGGGGGGACCCACGCTACACTGTTAGAATTGGAGAATCCACTCTACACTGTTAGAATGTGGGGGACATGCCCCATCATTCTTATCGAACCTCATAAATCTCCCCAAATCACAAGTCCTTTGTTAAAAAATGTAGTTTATCACATGTTCTTTGTTTAGCGGTTATCAGTCAGCTGCTAAGAAACCGACGGTCAATATTTGCCACGGTTCCACTGTAGCGTGACGTACTCACTCATCTACTCAAACAGGTTGTATCTCTCACTCTCTCACTTGAATGAGTCATAAGCCTTACCAATCCTCCACCAATACTATTTACGTGTTGAAATTCTCTGGGTTTTCCGAACTTTTAACCTGGCGGGCACAAAGGTTTGTGAATCATGTAAGAAAAGTAACTTATAAATGGCGATCGAATGTCTTGATTCTCTTACCAGCAGGATTTCAAAGATGACTAATTTTCATGCGGTTTTTTTTTAAGAATCAACACTGAAAAACAAAACCACAGAAACACATTCTCTCTCTCTCTCTCTCTCTCTCTCTCTCTCTCTCTCTCTCTCTCTCTCTCTCTCTCTCTCTGTGTGTGTCTCTCTGTCTCTCTGTCTCTCTCTCTCTCTCTCTCTCTCTATATATATATATATATATATATATATATATATATATATATATATATATATATATATATATATATTGTTTTCACTTGACTATCAAGAGGTATCTTGTTCGCCTCCAGGATTGTTGTCTGTTGCATTATCTCAAGGATGAGAATCACACCAGAGGAAATCACAGAAACCTCGTGCAACCATATAACAATACAGTGCAGACCTGATAAGGAGAACTCACGAGGGACACAAGAAATGGTTCTTCTTATCAAATATTCTTCTTATCCAGATAATTATTCAAGCAAGAAGAACTGTCGGGGATAAACAAATATTTCCTCACAGTAGAAATTCGTTATATCCGATATCATCTTAAGCTTCTTCTTCTTCTTTCGTTCGCCTGAAATAAGTTGTCTATATCAGCAATTTTGTCTCTTGTATAAATGTCACTGTTGTTGTTAATTCATTTAGTGGTCCATAGAGTTTACGTTCCACTGTTGTTCTTTCTGCCCAAAAGGTTTGCCTTAATGTGTAAAATTCGGTGCACTCCTGGAGTACATGCTCTGATGTCTGGGGCACCTTTCCACATGTGCACATGGCTGAAACGCCTATCTTGAATTTTGTGTACATGTGGTTACGTAATCGGTTCTGATCTGTCTAAAATAAAATAGCCGTCTTGTGCTGGGGCTGGTGGTTTCCTGATTGATTTAATGATTCTTTTCTTTTGGTGGTATGTGACTGGTACATTCGGCTGCACTTTTGTCACACCTTCTCCTGCCAGTTGATCATCTTTCTCATTTCCAGACACTCCACAATGTGATGGTATCCACTGCATCACAACTCTTTGCTGAAGGCTAAGTTGTGTCAACAGTTTTCGCAATTCTGGTAGTTTCCTAGACTGGATTGCTTCAAGTACTGATTTTGCATCTGTCAGTATTACCACATACTGGGAGCCAAGATTGGTATTTAGCAGTTTCTCTGTTGCTATCTTGATAGCCTGAGTTTCTGCATCATAGTTATGGCAGTAGTTTCCGGTTAGTACGCTGGACTTATCCCTAGTACCATCTGGGAATTCTATGTACACTCCAGCACCACCATTTCTAACTGCACTTTCTGCGGACCAATCTGTATAGACTCTGACCCATTGTTCTTGTGGGTATTCTTCATCAATATAACTGACGGTGGCCATTCTGCGTTGTACACTATCTTGTTCTTTCTTGTCAAATATTCCGTTCACATTTGTCTGGATTTGTACTGTTAGTTTGCATTTCTCTCTCCACGGGGTTTGTTCTGGAATACTGTTAAGTGGACAACCAATTTCTGGAAGGTCAGCACTTTGTCTGCATATTCTTTTTGCTTGATGTATAAAGCTGTTTCTTTTTAACTATCCCAAGGCTAGGTTCTGAAATCTATTTTTCATAGGGTGATCTGGCACACTGAGGAACTTTTCAGCTTGTATTTGCAACTTTGTATCTCTGCGTTCTCTCAGTGCCTGTGTTTTCCCAGCTTTCTCCATTTCTAATATGGGGGTTGATTTCATCCCTCCTGTGATGACTCTGAGTGCTTGATTTTGCACTTTGTCCAACTCCTTTAATGTGGTACTAGATGCTGAACACCATGCAGTTGACCAATATTCCAAGTGTGAAAGTATGCTCTGCTTGTATACTTAATTGAGTATTTTCCCACTCGCTCCCCATGTGGTTCCACTTAGTTTTCTTAGTATGGCTGTCTTCCTCCTGGCTTTGGTTGCTGCCTTGTTGATATGTTTTCTCCATGTCAACCTGTCATCAAATGTGACTCCGAGGTACGTGGGCTCTTTATCATTTCTTAGGGGTATTTCGTTTATTTTGATGATGCCAGCTTTTTGCTTTGGGGAAAGAGTGAAGAGTGTGGTGCTACAATTGTCTGTATTGATGCTAACACACCATCTATTCGCCCATGCCTCAAGTGCATATGTAGCCCGCTGTAGTGTTCTTTTGGCTATCGTTGCATGTTCATCGGTGCACCACAGTACCAGGTCGTTGGCATACATTGCCATTTTGATTCCATCTTAAGCTGTCTGCACTGTATTATCCCCCTTATAATGATATGAAAATCTACATTCACCGTGTAAATCAATTACTCCAACCGGTAATTGGTTTTCATTTGTTACTACGACACCTGCATCCGCCGTTTGTGTTGCTTTTCCATCTGAAACCACATTTCAACGAATAAATGTTTCTAGGCTTCGCTGATACTGAGCTCCCGGACCAAACTATGAAGATGTTTTTTATCCTCTGTTTTCTCGCATTCTCCCTGTCTGCTCCTTCTCCTCACGGTCCTCACTCCTTGTAGTGCCCAGATCATGGAACTGTCTGGCCAGTTCTCGCTGATCGACATGCCATTCAGGCAGCTGGACAGTGACGGCAAACGCCGCGTTAATTGTTACGTCTTGTCGACAAATCCACAAAGGACCTTTCGCTTCATTCTGAATGCAATGCAAAGCTCTAAACATGACACTATATTATTCGTGAATCATCTAAATGATTTCAGTCATCCTTCTAAATTCCCAGCTGCATCCTACTGACAGATACCAGCTTTGACAACATACACATGAATGTCACAAACAACTATTAATGTCTGATGACGTCATACATTCACATGATCTAGTGGGCGTGTGAACTTGAAGCGCAGTTTTCTAGTTACAGGGAATACTGTGTGCTTTACAATTCCAGCTTCTTAGAAATGGTAACTAAGACGCTAGACTAACATATGAGGAACAAAAAGAAGACGATAAAATGCAGGACGATGTGAAAAAGACGGAGAATGAGGAGGAGGAAGAAGAAGAAGAAGAAGCAGAAGAGAAATAATAATAATAATAATAATAATAATAATAATAATAATAATAATAATAATAATAATAATAATAATAAAAAGAAGAAGAAGAAGAAGAAGAAGAAGAAGAAGAAGAAGAAGAAGAAGAAGAAGAAGAAGAAGAAGAAGAAGAAGAAGAAGAAGAAGAAGAAGAAGAAGAAGAAGAAGAAGAAGAAGAAGAAGAAGAAGAAGAAGAAGAAGCAGCAGCAGCAGCAGCAGAAGAAGAATAAGAAGGAAGGAAGAAGAAGAAAGAGGAGAAGGAGTAGGAAGAGAAGGAGTAGGAGGTAGAGGAGAAGGAGAATAAGAAGAAGACTTCAGATTTATTATAAATATAAATGTAGGTAAATGCTGAACGAATTACAAAACACACGCTAACATCCACTGGGTCAGCGTTTTAAATATTAACATTATTGAAGTAACTGGGATAGCCTGATGCTGACTGGCGAAGTCTCGAATGTTTTATGTCCGGACCGATCTGCACTTACACACCCAATCAATGACGCTGATTTATTCAGCTGCAAATCCTGTTAAAGGACGTTTGTGTCCGCACGATGCATTAATTCACCCACTATAAAGTGACAGTGCCTGCCAACCTTCTCGCACTTTCGTTGCCCCCAACACTGCCGTATCCTGCTGAGGTATGCTAAGTTGAAGGTAACAAATGAAAGTGTGCGACCAACTGAAAAAAAATACGTGACTTCTACATCCGCTTGCAGCTACTGCCACACCTCTCATGCCCCTCGTTTAACACAATTCTATTCACGTCCGGTTGGACGTCTGTGTGATTTTGTAGAAAGCCTATTTGTTTCCATTTGTCTGCCTATGGTATGGTTTTCTTCTTCTTTT